CGTGGCGCGGGGCATGAAGTTGGGCGCGTGCGGGTCTTGGAGCGGAGGCGCGGCACAGCTGGGAGCCGCCCGCGTCTAGAGCCCGCTCGGTGCGCCATGGAGCTCAGGGGGCCCCGGGCGCCGCAGGCGCCGCTGCTACTGCCGCTGCTGTTGCTCTTAGGGGTCGGCCTCTTGCCTGGTAAGTTTCGAAATGCGGAACGGTTTTTTTTTTGTTTTTTTGTTTTTTTAATCTCCCGGGTCCTGGCACCTGGGATTCCCGGGCCAGGGGAGAGGAGGCCCCGGGCTGCGGTGCCAAGCCGCGGGTGCGCGCAACGGGATAGCCAGAGACTCCTCCACCCACTACAGCTCCGACGTCCTGCGGTGCTAGCTGAGCCAGTGAGGAAGGAATCAGCCGCCAAGTGCTGGGCGAGGGGGTTTGAGTGGAGGCGGGGGTGAGGCGGGGGGAGGGTGGTCTGACTGCATTTCCGAGCTGGAACCAGAATCTCCAACTAGGATAGAGGTGGAGTCCACCTGGGAGCGAGGTTCCATCCTGCCAAATCTCTCAGCAGACCGCCCCCACGTCTGCTCCTGGTTTCGGGGATCTGCCTCTGCCCCTGGAGCTCCCACCCTATCCTTTCTGCCCTCCCCACCCCACGCCGGCTTCCTCCACCTCTCATTTAAACGGACACCTTTCACCCTAACCCATCCAGGGGTTTCCGGAGGTTATTTAATCCCTGGCCTCCTCCAGTGAGCAGTGAGGCTGTGCCTTACTGGTCCAAGGTACCAGGAAGAATGAGGCTGAGGGAGGAGGCTGTGGGGGTACTCTAGAAGACCCCTCCTGAGGAGTTCTTCTCAGGTAAGCAGGAGCCAGCAGACAGCAGAGGCTCCCCTCCCTCTTCCCAACCCCCTCTTTAATGCAGCAACCCAGCAAATGGAGACAGGGAGGCCCCCTAGCCACGTAGGGGGCCGATGGAGAGAACACAGATGGGCTCCTGACTGGTGGAATGAGGGACCACCCTCTCCAGACAGCAGTGTGGCGCTTATCCAAGGCATCTTGTGTCTGCCCTGAACTCTGGGCGCTAGGGGCCCCGAGGGTCTGCATTCGTTATCAGGGTGGACACTAAAGCCCAGGCAGCAGGACTATTCCTGTGGACAGCAGCTCAAGCACCACCCTCGCTGCCCCATGCACCTTCTGTCCCCATTCCCATGCGGCTGTCACTTCATGTCCTTTGTCTCTGCCGGTCACCGGCGATAGGGCACTTCCATCCAGAGTGATTGTCTGCAGGGAAGTTGTACGCAATTCAGTGTTCACTGGTTAGTTGCTGTGTTTTCCTGGTGAAGGAAACGCAGGAGGGCCTGACCCGTTCTGAGGGTGCTGGAAAGGCTTCCTTGAGGGGAGTCTGGGAAATCAAGGCAGCATGCCCAGGGCTCCTAAGGTAGAAGGTGATGTGGAAGAGGAACTGGAAGGCAAGAAAGACTGTGGTGACATGGGGCTTGAGGGGCGCCCTTTGTAGTCACCTGTCCCTAAACCTCCTGCCTCCCGCACAGCTAGCAGCCACATCGAGACCCGGGCCCATGCGGAGGAGCGGCTCCTGAAGAGACTCTTCTCTGGCTACAACAAGTGGTCTCGGCCAGTAGCCAACATCTCAGACGTGGTCCTTGTCCGCTTCGGCCTGTCCATTGCTCAGCTCATTGATGTGGTAGGTGTGGGGATGACCTGGTGTTGTTTGGGACAATTGGGGTCATGCTGTAGGAGGTACGACCGTGAGACTCCATGTGACTGGATCCAACCAAGGTTGACAGAGAAATGCCATCCTGAGCTTCAGCAGGTACTCAGCGCTGGGGAAGGGAGGTGGGCTCCATGGTTCCGGGCCTGCTCCATAGGAAAGCTGTGGGAACTTCGGTTGTATCACCCTTCCCGTGGGCACTGTGGTACACTGGGGGCACATTGATCTCACGCTGATCCCAGAGGCCACGGAGTACCAGCCAACATGGGAAGTTGGGCTTGGGTGAATCTCAGACAGATCCTTTTTACCTGGCTGTGTTCATTTTCCTAGTGAGGGTCCAGGAAGATTTCTGGGGGGACCTGTGTGAGCTAGGCAGTAGCCCCTGCTGCATGGGTTGAGGCCCAAGCACCAGAGATGAGATCTTGGCCCAGGGAAGTATAATGTAGGAGTCTGTCCTCATGTGAGGCTGAGATGCCCCTTATGGGATGGGACCAGGCTTTGGGGAATGCAGCCAGGGGTTGGAATCACTCAAGGCTCTGCCCTTCAGGTTGGGCCCAACATGAGTTCTGTCCTGGCTGGAGGAATGATGCTGGGAAGGCGTAGTAATCTTTTTTTTTTTAAGATTTATTTATTTATTATGTATACAACATTCCTTCCATATGCCACCATATGGTTGCTGGGAATTGAACTCAGGACCTCTGGAAGAGCAGTCAGTGCTCTTAACCTCTGAGCCACCTCTCCAGCTCAAGGCATAGTAATCTTACCAGTGGGGCAGCCATAGGCCACTTGATTTAGTAAGCTTGAGGGCTCTGTACTGGGTTTGCTGGGTTCAGGGGCAGAGCCTAGATCTGAGGAGAGAGGGAGAGAGAGAGAGAGAGAGAGAGAGAGAGAGAGAGAGAGAGAGAGAGCTGTCCCTGCAGAGCCTTCTAGGAGAGATAGAAGTTAAAGGGGAGGACACAAAGAGACTACTGCCTTGCTTGGGTTCATACCCCAGCGTGAGTGTCCTAAAGGTCCAACCCCCTCTCTGCTACAAGGGAAGTGTTGGCTTGAGACTGGCACTGATTATGTGTGGTTCTCAGCTTTTTCATGTGCTTGCCTGACATGTGCGAAGAGCAACTATAGCATCTCTAACAGAGCCAGCAACAACCCAGGGATCTGGCCTGATGGGATTGGACACAGAGACCCTTGCCAGTTGGCCCTATTCAGGGGTAGCCACTCAGACTTTCATCCTCAGGAGAGCCTAGCACTTCGCCCCTGCATGGTTCCTGCAGTGTCCCTGGCTGGGGGACATCAAGGACAGTGCAAGATGTACAGGCCCCTCATCCTTGCTGAGGTTTGCAAACACCGTTACAAAGCGGTGGCTGGCAGAGGCAGCTGTTGGCAGCAGCTCAAGACTCTGGGTCGGCTACCACCAGGCATGCCTAAGCCTGTTGAGCTCAGCCTCATGTTCTCAGCCTCAGGAGACACTGAGGCTCATAGCAAACCCAGCACCAAAATGTCTCCAAGGGACCTGGCTCCCAGCCCTGACCTCTGTCCTAGATCTAGCTAAGGTCACGTGTAAACATGTATACACACGCATATAAATATCTCCTGGGCCTGGTTGGAGGGTGTCCCAAAGGCTCACCCTGCACCCTGCCAGGGATCTACCTTGACTTTGCTACAAAGGGGAGTTCTGGCTCTAGGCAGGCATTGTGCACGTTGAAGGTTCACAGCCACGTTTGTGCAGAAAGGTCTGCCTTGTGTCTGGCTTACTCTTTCTTCTACTAGGGCCTGGAATCCAGGTGCCCCCATCCTAGTGCCCAGCCTGCCTTTGTCCCTTTGTCCCTGTGTCCCTACTTGATCTACTACAGATGTCCTCTCAGGGGTCTGCTCCCAGTAAGGGAGACTGCATGCTTTGCTTGAGTTTATACCCGGTGCCCGCTGTAGAGAGGACTACAGAATCACCAGGATTTTCCTAACCCAATGCTGAGTCCTTGTGAAATGTGCTCCAGATCTCTGTGACATCTATGGATCCAAAGGCCCTGGAGTGTGACAGCCACATGGGGCTGGAAGGGATGCTAGGGCAAGAAGATCCTGCCCGGTAACAGTCAAGTTTGTTCTGATGATTCTGGAGGCCCTGTGGGATGAAGCAAGCAGGGTTCCATTTACAGCTTCCTTGGGTATAGGTCAAGGTCATGTAGGGATGAGGCTGCTGCCAACTAGCCTATGCAGGCAGCAGGAGGAACCAACAGACTATGGACTGTGCTCTGCATCCCACCTTCTCTTCAGTGTCCTAACAGGGAGGGGACTCACTCAGGCCACTGGGTCACCTTCCTAGGTGACTGCACTGGAGAGAACCTGGGGCTGGGCATCAGGGGGTGCAACCTCCTCCCATTTACTAGACTATAATGATTTTTGTGGGGGCAGGAACATGCTCTATTCATAGCAAGACACTGTCTTGCTGGATGTCCTGGGAATCTCCTTGGTTAGGTCCCTGGAGGAGCCTGTTAGTCAGGCTTAGGCTGATGACAGAAAATGTTGGTCCAGTTTGGGACGCATGGTGCCCAGTATCCGATGCCCTCTGACAAGGCCCAGTGCTGTTCCCCAGACTATGGGCATGAGGTCTCAGACCCTTCCTGGGTGCTGAGTGAATAGAAGGTGTGACAGTGAGTATGGCTGCCAGTCTGTCCCCACGAACATCTGTGCTTACACCAAGCTTGCTCATTCTCCACAAGGGTCCTGTCTGCTTTAGGAGCTGATTGATCAGAACGTGGGTCTCCAACCTGCTGTTCCTCACCAGATGGGCCCATTCCTATGGCACAGAGGAGAAATAAACTTGGGGCAGCAACTGTAAGAGACCTCACAGAGTAGTCTGCAGCCTGGATCTTCTCAGCCTGACTGGCTGTTGCATGGTGACCTTGAGATGAAACCACCAGAATCTCTGCCGCGACAGCCACCTTGGCCCTGGGCGGATGGTTTTATCAAGATCTCCCTAACCTGTGGCTTTGGTGGCCTTAGGAACAGCAGCACATGGATCCCATCTGCAGAGGGAGGAGGGAGAGAGCAATGTGAGTGGACATGGCTGACGGATTTCAGCCTGCAAGGAGCCTGGGGTCCATTTGGAGCTGAACTGACCTCCCATGTCTCTCTGGAAAGGTTCCGGAGTCTTTGTCTCCTCACCCTACCTCCTCTGAGGCTGCCATCCCAGGCTAGGTTGCCTTCAGGGCTGAGGCACTCCTCCTCTGCTGCAGTTCGGCCCTGGCTTGTCTGTGCCTTTGCTAGCTATGGATTGTAGATCTCCCTTCTCCCTTGTGTCCTAGGATGAGAAGAACCAGATGATGACGACAAACGTCTGGGTGAAGCAGGTGAGTGGGGAGGGCTCCCCCGCCTCCGCCCTGTGCCCCATAACCCCCCTCACACGCGACTCTCCACCCCCACTCAGGAGTGGTATGACTACAAGTTACGCTGGGACCCCAGTGACTACGAGAATGTTACCTCCATCCGCATCCCCTCCGAGCTCATCTGGAGGCCTGACATCGTACTCTACAACAAGTAAGCCTCGTGGGCCCTGGCAGGTGAGGTTAGGCCCCAGCCCAGCAAGGAAGCTGTTGGAAGCAAAGAGGAACTAGGCAAAGGGAGTGGAAACCCAAGGGGCTGGGTGTAGCCACCAGCACCAGTGGCAGGGGGCAGGGGAGGTGGTACCCACTGTGAGATTCTTCTGGTCTCCTGAGGGCAGAGAATAGATTGGATGCCCTCTCCTGGCAGTGACTGCAGGTCCCATCCCAGGCAGGTTTTCTTAACCCCTGCGGTGTACAAGTCACAGTCTGAAAGGCCAGTGATGCAGCAGTGATGCAGGGGACTTTGGGAGTAGATGAAGAGGTACAAGAGAAGTGACTGCTCCACAGAACCTTGCCTCTGCCCTTCTAGGTCCCACCTTTGTGCTGTGCCCCACACTGGGCACTGAGCCAAGGGACACTCCCAGCTCCTAAGCTCAGTTCACACCCTGTCATGGCTCCTGGAAGCTGAAGTCTGCACAGAGACGAACGCAGTCAGTGGTGACAGGAAGGCAGGAGACGGGCATCCTCACACTTACTTTTCCCAGGGATCCTTACAGAGAGACCTGAGCTGGGAGCAGCTGGATTTCTGAGCTTAGTCTACGCGGGGTGATACGCTACTCCAGCTCCCACGGGGCTTGCAGACAAAGCAAACAGAAAGCCCTTCCACCCCCTAGTCCCAGCCATCTGCCCACAGCCCCCTCCAGGCCCTGGGGTGCCCATCTGACCTACAAATGCTCCCATTAGATTAAGAACGACTGGGATTTTCTTTCCTCTTTCATTGAGCGGAGTACTAGCCACATCCTTGGCTTTTAGAAGGAGCTGCGGGTGTTTTTCCGAAATGTGTTATGGGTGGGCTGTATCAAGGGTGGGTTTAAGAATGAGCAGATGGCAGGGACCATCAAGGTCCATGACCCTTGCTCTTCCTTCAGAAAGGCTCTCTGTCTTCTGTCCCCTCCGGTTGAACCTTGAGCCCTGGAGGATTTCTAGCTACTGGGACCCACACTCTGCCTGTTCCACCCTTGAGCCCTAAGATCAAGTACAGAATCTACTCTGGGCATCTTACTGGACCCATGACAAGGAAGGATACGCATTCCCTGGGCGGTACTGGGTAGGCAGAGGAGGAGGTGGGGGAGCCGATAAACAGCCCAGGACCAGGTTCCTGATGACGGGCACTCAGAAGTCTCCACTCCTCCCAGGTCGTCTTTGTCTCTCTCTCCTACGTGCTTGGACACATGCCAAAGGGACAGACCCCCTTTTCTCTGGGGCTGGAATAAGCACTCGAGATCTACCTGAGCAGGGCTTGGAGCTGGTGAAGGTTGGTAAGATAAGATGCTGGCAGAGAGGAGGCCATTTCTAGTGCAATCAGCCGCTGCTAGCCGGTACACTGCTGTACCGGGGGAGTCCCTACTCTTTTGTTGACTTGGGGCTTCCTCTCCTGGAAACCCAGAAGCTCTCAACCAGGTGTGGATCAAACAGATGATCTCATTTGCCTCTGAATCGCAGCCTCATGTGGTGGGGCTTCTTAGGAATAGGTAAAATCCAGGACCCACTCTCCCCCAGCTACTGGTCAGTTCGTTGAGTCCAGAACTAATATCACATTGGTTGCCTGTAGGACTCAAAAGTTTGTACTTCCTCTGGTGTTCTGGGGTCTGTAAGGTACAGAGCTGGAAACTGAGGACCCATCATCTTCCTCACCCTACATCAGGAGCCTTAGCAGTGAAAGGCCGACAGCCCAACCTGCTGTCCTGGTGTGTGGCCAGGCTGCCAGTGGTCGCTGGGACAGCATTATCCTTTGGGCCTTCTGACTGCCTTACTCTTGACAATATGAGGAGAACAAAGCAGCCAGAGCTACTACACAGAGTGCTGAACTCTGTGGACTCGGCTGTCACCTTCTCCACAGCTGGGGCTTTGTGGGAGTGTCGTATGGAAGTGGAGCCAGAATCTGATGGAGATGGCCTGCATTGCCCCCCTCAGAGACCTCTTCCCTCAGAGAGTACGCTTGGTACCCGTCTGCAAACACAAGCACAACAGCAGCCTCAGAGGGATCCATCAGCACAGGTTTAGGTGCTCTGCCGAGCTCACAAGGGGACCCAGGCCGGGCTGGGGAGGGCAGGGAGAGCAGGGAGTAGTGAGCAGTACAGTTAGAGCCAGGTGGAGCCACACCAACCTGAGCTGTGACGGCTGAGTCCCCAGTGTGTCTGAAGGGTGGGAAACCCAGACCCAGCAGCCAAGGCTGCAGATGTGAGTCACTAATTCAAGTGAGCCCGGAGGGCCCCTGTCGACCAGCTGGTTACAGCCTTTCCTGCCTGCTCTGCAGAAAGTTGTCAAAGCAGAGGATCCACTCACTTGCTGTGGGGGAATTTAAATTTGTGCCTGGAGTGCTGAGGCTTTGATTTTTGGAGATATGGGACTGTGAGAAGGAAATCAACCCAAGCCTGATTCCACAGGGCCTGAAATATCCCGCGAGATCCACCCCCATGTACCCGGAGGGAACCTTGGCTTCTGTAGAAACCAGGCTGTGCACTGTGCATTGTGCAATCTGAAGCCTTATTGGGGTGCATGTATGCAGCCTGAAACCTTATTGGGGTGCATGATGAGAACAGCTTTTCCTATGTTTTCCATATGTAGCACAGCTGTGCCTGAGAAAACCAGTAACATTGACCTAGGATGAGTTAACATGCAGGAGGGCCCAGGCTTGACACTCACTGAGATCATGGGAGGCTCAGATCTTCTGGACTTTGTGGATGGTGCTGCGAGTGATTGGTTAGCGTAGAAAGGACCAATCACTAAGGGTTCCAGGTGGCCACCATGGGCTCTGGTCAGGACATGAGAAGCTGTTCAGGGGAGGAGGGCCAGTTGGCTGATGAAATTCAGGGGACCTGTATTTCTCTGCCTAAGAACCTTGGAGGGCACTAGCCAATGAACTGGGCCTGTGAATAGAGGTGGGAGAAGGAATGGACAGATGGGGCTGGGCCCTTGGGAAATCAGAAGATTCTGGAGCCTGTGGCTCAGGGCTACATTGTTTTATGGGTGGTGAGACCGGCGTGATGCATGCTGGTGCCATTAGTGAGAAGTTTAATCGTGCTTCAGGGAGCTCGTTAGCTGTAAATCGAGGTTTCCCATCGGTGTTTCTGAGCTGAAGCTGGCAGGGTTTGCCCAAAAGTGTTAGTGCACTGACGGTCTCTGAATGCTAATCCAGGGCCAAAGCGAATGGTCTGGCTATGTAGAGATGCCAAGGCCTGAAGAGTGCCACACTGCTGCCTGGATTTCACGGGGAAAATAGGGTACAGATTTCACAGCCAAATAGGGTACAATTCCATAGGCAAAAATGAAATATGAGAAGTTCTGGGGAGGGTTGCGGAGGTAATCACGGTGAGAAGGGCTTCACAAAGTCTGTTTTCCGGTGTCACAAAGTTCCAAGAATGTGTAAAATGAGGCACAGCATCACTGTGAAGCCCAGAGGTCAAGGCTGGAACTCTGGCCAAGAGAAGAGGCTTGAGGGACAGCAGACCCATGCTCCACTGCCCAACCTGGCAAACATCCCTCAAGGCAGAGAGAGAGGCAAGAAGCCAATAGTCAGATACTAGAACCTGAATGAGGCAACCAGAGTCCTCACCCAGCCCGTGTACCATGGCCTGTAGAGAGGTGGCCTCCAAATTCTTGGGGCCAGTGGAAAGGAGAGGAGATCTATCCTGAGTGTGAGCCCAGTCCAGGGGGAAATTCAAAGGGGTTCTTGTCCTGGAAGGCACCTTGAGTAACTCTGCACTACCATTTTCATACCCGGTGTCCTCATATGGATGAGATGGGCAGAGAGGCCTGCTGGCCTCCAACAAGATTATCCGTTCACCAGGGACCTATGAGAAGCTGCTTGGTATGAGACCTCCTTTTTCATGGGTGGTGAGGAGGAAAAATTGCTTGTCCCACACCCTGTGCTCCTGGGCCCAGCAGGCATCCATTCTTCTGATTCAGGCCTCTGGACCCACTTGCCCTGTCCCTGCAGACACATGCTTCCTACACAATGGTCTTGGTCCTGCAGGGACCAATGGGATATCCCTAGCACACACTGCTGGGGCCAGTTGTGAGCTCCTGAACTGAAGGAGACAGGAACCTGCATCTCCCCTCAGTGTATGAGATGCTCAGGTGGTAACCAGTAGAGTCCAAGGAGAAACTTCCGTGGTGCCTCAGTCCTCAAAGGCACAGAGGTGACCCAGGCCCCTCTGCAAGGAGAAGGCACAGATGCAAATTCACGGGGCAGTGGGTGTTCAGGAGAGAAGCCAGGAGTTTGGTTCCACCCCAAGCCCCTCGTAATAGTAATGGATAAGAGCTGTAACTCCTATCTAACTCCGCTCACTGGGTGAGCACCATGGTCTCTGGACCACATGCCACCTTGACTCTTTAGGGGTGACAAGCTGAAGCACACAGGTGAGTGATGGCCCAGACCACATGACCACTATACATAATCCTGCACTCTTCATGGCAGCTGGTGGGGCTGTTGGTCAGGCTGTGAACCTTTCTCTACGAGAATGTCTGTGGGTGTGGTGTAGGGATGGGCAGACCTCACTGTTCTCTCTCCCTCTTCCTGGCAGTGCGGATGGGGACTTTGCAGTCACCCACCTGACCAAAGCCCACCTGTTCTATGATGGGCGGGTACAGTGGACACCTCCGGCCATCTATAAGAGCTCCTGCAGCATCGATGTCACCTTCTTCCCCTTCGACCAGCAGAACTGTACCATGAAGTTTGGGTCCTGGACCTATGACAAGGCCAAGATTGACTTGGTGAGCATGCATAGCCGCGTGGACCAGCTGGACTTCTGGGAAAGTGGGGAGTGGGTCATTGTGGATGCCGTGGGCACCTACAACACCAGGAAGTATGAATGCTGCGCCGAGATCTACCCTGACATCACCTACGCCTTCATCATCCGCCGGCTGCCGCTCTTCTACACCATCAACCTCATCATCCCGTGCCTGCTCATCTCCTGCCTCACCGTGCTGGTCTTCTACCTGCCCTCCGAGTGTGGCGAGAAGGTCACGCTGTGCATCTCGGTGCTGCTGTCCCTCACCGTCTTCCTCCTGCTCATCACCGAGATCATCCCGTCCACCTCGCTGGTCATCCCGCTCATCGGCGAGTATTTGCTCTTCACGATGATCTTCGTCACCCTCTCCATTGTCATCACCGTCTTCGTGCTCAACGTACACCACCGCTCACCGCGCACGCATACCATGCCTGCCTGGGTGCGCAGGGTCTTCCTGGACATCGTGCCGCGCCTCCTCTTCATGAAGCGCCCGTCTGTGGTCAAAGACAACTGCCGGAGACTTATCGAGTCCATGCACAAGATGGCCAATGCCCCTCGTTTCTGGCCAGAGCCGGAGGGTGAGCCCGGCATCTTGAGTGACGTTCGAAACCGAGGTCTGTCATCCACCCCATCTTTCTGCAACCCTCTGACCACGCCAGTGGAGGCCCAGCCTACATGCAAGTCACCCTCTCACAAGGCCCCTGATTTGCAGCCAACAGAGGTGAAGAAGACCAGTCCCTGTCCATCACCTGGCTCCTGCCATGCACCCAACAGCACCAGGGTCCCGACGCTTGTCAAAGCCAGGTCCCTGAGCGTCCAGCACGTGCCCAGTTCCCAGGAAACATCAGAGGGTGGCATCCGCTGCCGATCTCGGAGTATCCAGTACTGTGTTTCTCGAGATGGAGCTGTCTCCCTGGCTGACAGCCAGCCAACTGCCTCCCCTGCCTCCCTGAAGGCCCATCCATCCCAGCTTCCACTGTCCGACCAGGCCTCTCCATGCAAATGCACATGCAAGGAACCATCTCCCGTGTCTCCAGTCACTGTGCTCAAGGCCCGAGGCACCAAACCACGCCCCCAGCACCTCCCTCTGTCACCAGCCCTGACACGGGCAGTAGAGGGTGTCCAGTACATTGCAGACCACCTCAAGGCAGAAGACACAGACTTCTCGGTAAGTCCTCGCCAGCGGCTATGCAGGGGAGGTGCCCCTGGCCCAGATAGGATGAGATGGCCGGTGTTTTCCATACATGATTCAGAAACCAAGGACCCAGACAAATGCTGCACAGCTTGAGGGTATGGAGTCTCTGCCTAGCACCTTTTATAGATCCTTAGGCCAAGTTGGGCTTAGGCGAGGTCCTATCAGTGGGGAGCAAACTGAGGTGCTTCATTCAGGTGCCAGGACTTATGAGCCCTGGCGAGCAGTGGGTTGAGAGGCTGTTTCTAGCATTGCTATCCCAACGCTCAGAAGGTCTTCCTTTGATGTCTTTAGACTGTTATGGCTGCTTGGAATTCCTAGGTGACAGGTTCATCCCACACTAGCCTTCCCCAAAATTCAGTGGAACTGTTGCTTCTGCTGCCACCCAAGAACAGGTCTCCTTTGCCAAGAACAGCTTCTATGGCAAAGGGTGGTCCTCTGAATGCTAGGAAGGTTGAGAGGGCATAGAGAAGAGAATGGGGTTGCCGGAAACTACACCCCATCCCCACTCCATCAGTCCCTTGGAGGGTTGTGGGGTGAGGACATAATGTTGCCACACTGCAAGGCCCTCAGGAACCTGGAGTCAGGAAGCCAGTGCTCAGCCAGCCTACCCCAATGAAGCCTGAGAAAGAATGGTTATCTTGCTCCATAGGTGTTGGCTCCTGCACTTTTCACAGAGTGCAGCTCTGATGAGCAGTTGGGCTGGGCAGCAGTGCCAGCCCTGTCTGCCCTTGCCACTAGGGCGTTGTGGGTAGGTTCATCTCCCCTTTCACATTTATCCGACTGTAACACATAAGGGTCTCTGGGACTGGAGTGTGGGCTCAGATGATGCTGAGATGCAGGACTCCTGGTGCTAGGCAAGCTGTTTCCCCAGATCTGACTGTGCCTGTGAGAATCAGAGTCTCAGCCAGAGGTCAGGTAAAGAGGTCATCAGGGGAAGTCCTGGCCTGGTCAACCTCTGCTGTGCCACCTAAAATGTCTATGGCATCTGACCTTTACACTGACCTTGCCCTAAGCTGGCATTTGCCACTGTCCCTCCTGGGATGTCGGTTTTGTTGGCTTCTGCTCATCTTTCTGCCCAACCTGGGACTTGCCTGTTGTCCACTCCCAGATGTCTGTGGTTTGTCTTCTGGAGCTGCTAAGCCCTGGAAAGAAAGGAGGCTGGTGCCCTACATCCCAGGAATGGGTCTCTGCTTCCAGAATCACCCCTCTGAGTCTCAGGAAGTCATGAAGTCATTCTGGTGGTCTCTGGAATATTCTGGACCTCAGAGACATGTCTGGAGAGAAATTTGGGTTCTGAGGCTATGTCTTGTTACAGCTCTGGGGTAGAAAAAGAGATCCAGGCATGAACGGGACTGAGGCCACTGAGGGAGGCTGGATGTGGCAAGTTTAACTGAAATCCTCCTGGAACCATCCCCAGCATAGTCCTGTAGCCGGAGCTCATGACATCCCCCATCTCCACTGGCCTACTGCAGCTGCCTGACCTGCTTCTGGGCCTCGGGAGCTCGCTGACTTGATAGGGATAGGACAGCAGGGTTTTGGTCATGACTGTGGTGTTTCATCTTCAGAGGCTTGGTCCCAGGCACAGGAAGGGACAGAGGGACACTAAGCACCATTTACTCTGAAGAGCCCTTTGAGGGGCTTTTTATTTATCAAAGATCTATTCGGTCTAAAGTTTTCAAAGTGAACATGTCTGTTTACTTTTGGCTTAGCCCATCAGGACACCTGTGATCGTTGTGAAAATTTGAGGCAGGTGCCCTTGCTTCTGGGGAAACTGCACTCTTCTCCAACTCAGGCCTGCGAGGCCAAGTGTTCCTCAGCCTGCTTGGGGTCTGCTTGTTGTGACTTATTCCCTGCTGGTCACGTGTGCACAGGCCCTTCTAGACTAGTGACACCCTCGCAGGACGGTGAAGGGTAAGGAACAGGGCGGTGGTCTAACAGCCACGCTACCTGAAGCACAAGGCTAGAGCTGCAAGGAGAACTGTCTTCAGTGCCATGCTGGTTCCCAGGTCTAGTTAGACCCAGGCATCAATCCCCTGAGTCTTCGCTTCTGGGAACAGCTTGAGGAAGTGGCTTCCTTGCATCAGTCCCAGGCATAAAGAGTGCACACTGTGGGATCCAGAGGAACCAGTAGTCTTCCGCACCTGTTGTCACCATGTGTGAACGCATCGTCCAGTGAAGTGGACGCAGATGATGGACGTACACAGTGTGCCTTGTGTGCTGTTGTCACTGTTCACCCTCTGTCCCCTACCCTCCTTCCTCCATGGAATGTCCCTGGCATCATTGCCTCCACCCAGTGCATGGGCAGCTGGCCATGTAAGAAGTGGGTGTGCATAGCCAGGGCCAGGCCAGAGGCAAGTGTGGACTTAACCCTTGCTTTAGGGAGCTTTTGCTTTCGGCCACGGAGGGATGTCTAAGTGATCGGTCCATTACCCAGCTTGTTCCTAGCCCTTACCTTCTGGTCGAGGACACATGACTGACATCTCTCTGGGATCCACTTTTTTAAAAGTTACTTTAATTTTATGTTATATGTATGGGTGTTTTGATTACATGTATGTCTGTGCACCGGATGCATACCTGGTGTTAGCAGATTCCAGAAGAGGGTGTTGGATTCCCCGGAAACTAGAGTTATGGATGATTGTAAGCCACCATGTGGATGCTTGGAATTGAACCCAGAACCTTTTGAAAAGTAGCCAGTGCTTTTAACCACTGAGCCATCTCTCAAGCCCCTAGGATCCACTTCTGACATCTGCCCTGTGGGAAGGTAGACTTGACCTCTATGGTGCTGCCCAGCTTTAGCAAATTTAAAACAAATTTTACCCTGAAGTCATGGGCCCTGTGTTTGTCCAAAGTATGCCCAAACAGCCTCCTTTTGAGCATGGGTAGCCTGCTAAGCAGGCAAGACCAGCTGGGATACAGCATGCACCCCAAGTCTCTTGTGGCAGTGTGAACTACCAGAAAGCTCCAATGAGTCCAAATTCAAAGACCCCACACACATACAGCCCCATACGGGCTCGGTAGCTGCCCATCCCACCCCATATGGTGTCTCCGTGGGCTCTGTCCTGTAGCAGCTGCTCTGCCCAGCAGATTCTCTAACTGGACAGTTACGTGTTCCTTCCCCGCTTGTCAGCTCCCACAGGGGTGTGTGCAGATGTGTATCCAATGGGATGGATATGCAGGAACTGAGATTCATAGTTCCAGGTTGCAGAAGTTTCTCTGGCTGCCCATGGGATCTGAAAGATATAGTGACCCGTGTCTGTGTTTGCAGGTGAAGGAGGACTGGAAGTACGTAGCCATGGTCATCGATCGAATCTTCCTCTGGATGTTCATCATCGTCTGCCTACTGGGCACTGTGGGCCTCTTCCTGCCCCCCTGGCTAGCTGGTATGATCTAGAGACACAGTAATGGACAGGCCCGCTTGGCCCAGCTCCCTGGTCTTTGTAGGGCCATGCCAGTTGTCAGTTACCCCATCTTCCAAACCTGCCATGAAAACCTGGGAAAGAGATGCTGTTTCTCGGGAGCCAGAAGCTGGCACTGGTTCTAATCCAGCCACGGGCCTGGTTAGAGCAACTAAGGGCTGATACAGGGCAGAGTTACAGTCTGAGTCCCCATTAAAATTGCTCCAGAGCAGGTGAGAATCACCTCCTGGCCTGCAGGCAGCACACACTCATCTGTGTCTCAGAGACTGGTCCAGTGCTGGTCTCAGTCGTCCTGTGGGGCCACACAAATTCATTCCTCATCAGCAACCAGGAAACTCCCACTGTGCCCCTGCTGACCACATCCTCTCCCTGCCCCATAATGTGCCCCCATCATTCCTTCCGACTGGGCTGCTCTCTGTCACACAGGTGTCAGAGCTGAGCCCAGGCAAGTTCGGTTTCGTTTAAATTGGGGTGAATTGGTAAGAAGCTGAGCTCTGTGCCGTGTGGATGGCCCCCACTCACAGAAGAACTAGTGTAGCAAGACTGAAGCCCCATGGGAGCCCTGCATTCAGCTTAGGGTCACAAGGGTTCTATAGTGAGTGCCTCCTAGGGACTTGCAACCCCAATAGGGCAGCATTGGGAGTCTCAGGGTTGCGAGGGAGCCAGATCATGTCCAGGTCCTGGGCTGTAGGTCCCCTCATGGATCTTTGTTGATGCCCCTGCATGTTTCTTCCTCTCTGGGATAAAAGATTAAAGATAGAACTTCTCATCCTGGTCCTGTGGTGAGGGCACAGCTCCCTTGAGCACATCTTGTACGAGAGACCTAGGACTCTCAAGGCAAGCAGGAACAATGGGAAGCCCCTTCCATGTTATGGAATAGGGCGAGCTGCCAAGAGGGTTCTAAGCAAACCAGGCGCTCTGACCCATCGTCTTGAGGGCCATATGCCAAGGGTTATGGGTGCCTCACCCAGTCTGCCTTGCACTTAGGTTGTGGGGCTCCTCCTCCCATTCCCAACACAGCACCAGGCAACCTGGAAAATCCCCAGGGAGGGGCTGGGAGAAGCACCTGCTGTGCCCCCACCATGAAATTCCACTGGGTGAAGGACAGAGTGTGGGAGACACCCAAGAAATCATCCTGTGCTGTGGTCACTGTCCTGCTGTCCCCAACAGCCGAGTGGCCTCTGCAGAGCTAGGCCCTGCACCCTCAGCCAGCTTGTCCTAGGCCCTGAAGCTGGATTGTATGGACAGTTCTGAGGACTGAAGAAATGAAAGAACTTAATGAAGTCTGGAACCAACACAGCAAGCTCCCAGGTGCTGCTGGGAAAGGAACCCTGAGTTGAAGGCTTCAGGACACTCGTGTGTACAGGAAGGGCGTACAGAGGCCTGGGTTCTGAACTCTGGATGTTCTAGGCCTCCCCTAGAGCCCTGCGGAATCAAGGACCCCATCTGCTGTGTTTCAGTCTGTCCTCGCTCTGCTGACTGCTGGGTTGCCTAGCCCCCACACTGGAGCCCTCAGGGTGTTGCAAGATAACCCTGGTGGGGAAATTTGTTCCAGAACCTGGGAGCCAAGGGGAACACAAACCTCAGTGAGGAAGACAGCAGACACACCTGTCGGATATGAGTTCCACCAGCATGCTGCATACATGGCTCCAACCTCAAGATTTGCAGGCAGCAGTAGCGATCAGGGCAAGGCCACAGCGGCAGACTGTACAGAGAGGGCTGCTGTGCTGTTTCTTCTGGGTCAGAAAAAGTGAATGGCTGGATGCTCCTGACAGGCCGTCCCCACTGGCACCCAGAAGTCAGGAAAATGGAAATAAAGCACTGTGTTCTCCCCATGCCCACTCAGCTGTCCTTTTGTCTGCCTGCTTCCGATGTTGCTCTCTGGTCAAGATGAAGTTCAGTTAGGGCAGAATGCTTGATCTGAGGCCTTTGGGCCAGTGAGCTTTAAAAATCAGCATGGTCCCAGTCCCTCTGATATGTGGACGTTATCTCCCCAAAGCTCCCAGCCCTCCCATTCTACCCCCTCCCACAGACAGCGTCAACTCAAATGTGAGTCCTGGTCATCGTGTGTCCGGGATGCCGTACCGGACTCCGCGATGTCTGGCTTCTTTCACTTGTGTGGCCAAGGCTTGTCTGCTGTGCTGTGCGCACTAGACTCATGGCTGTTGTGTGCTTGTTGGTTCTTAGCTGCTGTTTCTGTCTGAATAAACCGAGTTGTGGTGTCTTCCCTTCCGTGTGCAGCCCGCCCTCATTTCCAGCTGTCTGTCAAGGTGCTGCTGATCAAGTTCCTGTGTTCGTGTCTGTGGGCATGTGTTGCCGTTTCTCTTTGTGTTAGCGTGCTTCTTTGATTTCTGTATGCTATGATGTCTTAACACGTTAGGGGCTTATCAGACTCAAGGCCGCTGCTTCCATGGCTGAACAATTTCTAGTGCTCGGCTTGCTTGGAGCCTACCCACCTTCACGGCTGATGGGCCATCGACAGTAGCACCTATTCCTTACAAAACTTACACCAGAGCCAGCCACAAAGGCAAAGGCAACTAGAGACCCCTTTGTAGCCCAGAGACTGAGGAAGTGTCCAGACTACCCCAGGCTGTTTCCTCTATGCAACCTGAGCCTCTCACAGAAACGCTTGTGAGAGTGGTAGACACTTCCTTCCCGCATCCCTTCCTCCACTGATGGCCCTGGTATCCCCTATTCCTAGAACAACGTCTTCTTGGTGATTGCAGCTGACACCCTTCCTGCCATGCCATCAACTAGGGGAGTCCCTTGTCTCCCCAGTAAACTAAGATTTGGGCGCAGAGCCAATAGATAACTCACCCTATAGGGTGGAGGTGGGCCCACTGTTACCATAGCTCTTGGGCACTGGTGCATTTCCACCAGAAACATCTGAGAGTCCAGGGTTTTATACTCTGGGCCTCCTGCCACCCATACAGATTGAGATTCATTGGCACAAAGCTGGTCCTGAAATTGTCCTGACCTTTGCGGGGGGGGGGAACATGGGGATCCCTGGTATGTGTCCATGGTGTGCACACAGGTTTTTACAGAAGCCACAGGAGAACACCCCTGGGCTCCTGCTGCTTGATTCTAGTCTCTCCTGTTTCAGTCTGCAGAAAAATGCCAGTTGCAGCTCCCCAGATTGATTCGCTGACCCACAGCTGGAAGCATACCGCTCAGGACACAATGCCAAGGGGAAGGGTGGAATTGTCAGGCACTGGGGTTTGTGCTGGGATTTAGGTGATTTAAAAAACATTCTCCATTTGGATGTGCTGTTTACTCTCGCTGTTTGCAGCTAGGAGTTTCCATTACTTTAATCCCTGCCTGACATTTCTTGCTATTTGCTGGTCTCACGGGTGACGCACAGATAGAATACACAGACAATCAGCATGTCTGCATACTTCTGACTGTAATTGCCTATGTCACCAGTACCCAGAAGTTACTGCTCTCCGCAGAGTGTATCCATTTCTGTGTCTAGCTTGTGTGGGTTCCGTCCTGTGGGCTGCACTGCCTGGCTTCCTCTTCTCAGCCTGCTGAGGATTCATCTGCTTACCGTCGACAGCCAGTTCTCAAGTGCTCACTGTGTGGGTACTACACCATTTATCTGCCCATTTTCCCGCAGTGAACATTTGGGTTGTCCCTGTTTGCCACTGTGTGAGAAGTGCTGCTGTGGAGGAGTTATGGTCTGCAAACCTATCTTCTAACATTAGGAGGGAGATGCATGAGGATGAGGGGTTCAAGGTCTCCCTCAACTGCATTTCGAGAATGAGGTCAATCTGGGCTATGTGAGACTTCGTCTTTAATAACCCACCATCACCAACAACAAAAAGCATATCTAGGGCTGGGAAGGCTGCTCGGTGGATGAAGTATTTGCCATGTAACCATGAATACCTGTGTTCAGATCTCCAGCACCCATGTAAAAGCCAAGAGTGGTGGTGGCCACCTATAAACCCTTCAGACATTTCCTGCATTCCCCTCAGGCAGGCAGCCAGGGCAAACGGCAAGTTCCAGTTTCAGTGAGTAATCATATCTCAAAAAATAAGAGGGGGAGGCAATAGGAATCAGCCTCCTGCCACCACGAGTCACAGGCACACGTGCATGTGCGCGCGCGCACACACACACACACACACACACACACTAATGATAATTATAATAATTAAAACATATATTACATGTTTCTATTGGGAGAATACATGAGTCTAGAGAAGACTTGAACACCATCATTTCCAGCTGGGCCAGGTTAGCGTTTCTAGAACCTTCTCTAACACAGCAGAAGCATGCTTACTCTGGTCAAGCCGGACCATGAGCCCTTGCCACACTAAAAACAAGTGTGACAAAATTCAGGACTGTGTTAGCAGCATATTCCCTGACGACTGAGAAATCAACTAGAACGCCAAGTCTTAGGTTTCAATGGAATTTGGAGAGTGCCTCTTCCCTTCAGTGAAGCAGCAATTTCTGCCACACTGGGAGATTATTGTTTAATATGTTCTATCTCCTCCACAGAGGAAAGTCCGATCTATCAGCCACTTTGGACACCTACTCTGTTAGTTCTTGTTCTAGAAGCTGCTCCTTGCTTATAGTAAATAACTGTGCTTCAAAAGCCTTCTGTATTGATGAGAAACATCACTATGCCTCCCCCTCCTGACAGCCCACCACCCTGCTGCCCTTGGCAGCAGTTCAATAGAATAATCTGCTGTGTGGCTGCCCAACACAGAGGGAGGTCGCTGTCCCTCTATTCACAATGTCCCCACTCCTTTGCAGAGGTCTCCATATGTCTGCTGGACTCCCTCCCAACAAAAGTTTCTTCCTGTGAACTTCAAAGCAGTTCTGTGTGTTACACCTGGAAGCATTGTGGTTCTTGAAATATCCTTTGTCCTAATCCTTGATGTGAAATTTCCTCCTCTGCCCTCCCACCTCACTGCCACCTCAGATTCTTATTGTCTGCAGTTTGGGCTGTAGGTTCTCACCAGGAAGGATTTCCTGATGGCTGTTCCCACTGTCTTTGCATCACGGACATGTCTTTGTATGACACAGAGGACATATCTCACAACCCACTCACCAGCGCTCACAGCTCTGCCATCGGTCTGAGATCGGACTCCTTTCTCTGATGCTCAGATTTTCAAAGCATTGTCACCTCCAAATACCAGTGCTCCATGTACCATGCCTCTTCCCTCCGGGGCTCGCCATGAGGCTGCTGTCGTCCAGGTTCCCTGCATCTCTGCTGATCTGAGCTCCCGGACACTTCTCTGATCCTGCAGCTTGCTGATGGTTTCAACAGCGCTCTCGGCTCGCAATGTCTCCTGCTGACTTTGCTTCTGTTTCTTTTCCATATACAACCCTTCCAGTTGGCCTTCCTTCATATATCCCTGTGTTTTTGGGCTTTGTGTCATTAATATCCTTCCTCTCCTCCGTGGTGCATCATGAGTTTTAAAAATTAATAGACCAAAGAAAACACAAGTTCCTCTTTATTCATTTGTCTCCATGTTTTTTAACCTCAGCTGCTTCCTCTTCCTTGTCAGGAACCTAAACTTGCCTAACAATGCTGTTCATGATTGAAGTGTGAATGTACACCTGTGTACATGTATATATGTGTTTTATAATGTATGTGCATGTGTGCAAGTCCAGGAGGAAACTATCCATTGTCTTATGACAGCTTCTTGAGGACCAGTGCTGCACACATGTGCAAACACATATATACATACAGTGACACCTGCACATACAAAGACATGCATGCACATATGGAAACACATGCAGAGGGACATGGAAACATGCATGCATGCAACATTGCATAGAAACACGTGCACATACAGATGTGCATGTGTGTACAGATACATGTGGGCACAGAGACAGATACGTATGCAGGCATTAATACACACATGTACCCACACACATTGAGTTGTAGTACTATTCCTTCAGTCAGTGTCAAACATCTCTTGTTCCTTGTTAAAGATTTTACTCTTCCCCCAGTGATTGTTTTTAACCTTCCCCATCTTTGTTTCTGGATTTTCCTTGCTTAGCTACACGGATGGGAGCAGTGGCCCAATTACTTACTATTTGTTTAAAAAGTAAATAGAAGTCCCCGACTCAGTTGGGCCAGGATTGGGAATACGGGTGCCATGAATCCATGTCATTCCAGTCCCTTGTCTGGCATGGTGGGGTAAGAGAGAAGGCTTACATGCTCTCTCTGAGGGTGACGAGAGACCCAGAGCTGAGGTGCTATTGGAGGACAATTTGCTCTGAAACCCTGAAGACAAGAGACCGAAGATACGAGGAGCCAAACACAGAGACTGAGGGAAGTGAAGATAATCTGGACTTCTTAGATGGAGGACAGGGGCGAGACAGGGCGGATGGGTTTGCTAGTACCCAGAGGCAAAGGGGACCAAAAGAGACAGTGGGGCTGAAGTGAGGACACTGTTCTGAGGGAGAGACACTGTTGGGATAGAACCCTGGAAAGAGCCAAGTGGATATGGCATGTAAAAGCCCTTGGTTTTGCCGTCATAGACAGCCTGCTATGCTCAGGGGTAGCTGTCATAGACAGCCTGCTGTGCTCAGGGGTAACCATTGTAGACAGTCCGCTACGCTCTACAGTTGGCAGGAAGTCTGTATTTTACCCTTGAAGTGACAAGGAACCCTGAGACGTGGAAGTCATGAGCAGGTTTGGGTCCTAATGGGGTGAAGATGAGCAGGCACTCATCCACTGCCTTGGGTGGAGAACGAGAAGGGGTCAGTGCAGGATCCAGGCTGAGCCTTGATGAGGCCCAGAGGAAGGAGTCTGGGCTTTGAGGAGGCCCGAGAATTCTGGAGAGTTTTAAATGAGAAGTAACAGGAGTGGTGGGGGACAGCGGTGGGAACAGCGGTGGGGACAGTGGTGGGGACAGCTCTCAGCAGTGACCACACAGACGCCTCACTTGAGCTGATGATGAGCAAGCAGAGGTTTATTTGAACTCTGAAGTGTACAAAGAAGGGACTTGAGAGGCGCCACCCTTCTCCCTTCCAACTCCCGCTGCTTCAGGGTCTTTCTTTGGTTTCCCTCTCTGTCCCTTGAGGACACTGCCGTTCTTAGTGTTGAGACAAAAGATATGGATGATGGTGTTGGGGCAGTACAGGGTGATTTGAAGTGGCAGAGGGGAGGTCCTGCCAAGAGAGAAGAGCAGACACAGCTGGACTGTAGCCTAGGAGACCGTGACCCGGCCTCCTGGCACAGTGAGTGCAGGCTACCCCAGAGAGACAGAACTTGAGGTCCCTACACACAGGCTTGTGTTGTGACATGGAAACAGAGCAGTCTCCAGTCTCCTGAGCAGGGGCAAGGCTGTCATACACACCCAATCCTCCAGTTTGTTCATTTGGTGGCTCCCCACTCCCCACTGCCACCCCTTTCCATCAGACATGCACCCAGCACCCCGATTCCTTGTGCCTGCTGAGTCTGCTCCCAGATGCCTCCAGCTCCATCACCTTCTTGAGGACAAGAAGGTACACTCATCTGAACGCATGTGGATCCATCTGTGCCACCTGCGCTCACTGCCTTCACCTGCACTTGTGTTCACAGAACTCACCTGTGTTTATCTGTATTCATGCCCACCTGTGTTCACTGTACTCTATCTCCCACATGTGTGCCCAGAAACACCTCCTCAGGCAGGGTTGCACACAGAAAGTTTGCTTGGGACATCCAGAGGAAAGAAAGAGGCCATCTGGTGCTGCCCCCTGCCCCCTGGTCTCAATGGTATCACCCACACTCAGAACCCCCAAAGCACTGTCTCGGACCTCAGGAGCACTCACCTGGCCGGGTGCTCACTGGAGTGCCTTTCTGAGTTCCAGTCTCTGTAACCCCTCCTCCCAGGTCCATGAGCACCCACACTCCTGCAGCTCAAACCTCTGCTCTACCCTATTGCTCCTCCACACTCGCTGGCCCAGTGAGAGTTTGCAGGGCAACCAGTTTTACAGATGCAGCTCCACCCCACTCTCACGGCCAGTGCTTCTGAGATGGAGCCAGCACCATCTCCCGCCCTCTCACTGTGCAGCCCAACCAGGTATCCTCTACTCGGGCTGTTCCTCCTTCTTGCTCCATGACTAGCAGGATGACGAAAATTCACCTGCTCACTCCAAGGATTCTGGGATCTTCTCTTCCTGCAGCCTAGCGCTGCCTGTGTGGCTGATGGCTGCAGGCTCACCTGAGAGGAAAGGAGGACATTGCAGGATCAGGGAATGTAGCAACTTCAGCTTCCTGTTCTCTGCCCTGTCTGTCCAGAGGGAAGCAGGGTCCTCTCAGCATAAGCATGAGGCTCAGCCCTTGGCCAAAGGCTGAGCATTAAGGACAACAGTACATTAGGTCTTTGAGCCCCAAGCAAGTACCTTAGTGTGGGTTCAGTGGCCAGAGTAGAGATTTTACTTCTAAATGAGATGGGGTCACCTGGAGGTGGGGTCACCTGAGGATATCCCAGGCTGTTCCTGGTTCATTAAGACAACTTTGCAGTAAAGGGATTGACAAGAAGGAAACACACACACTCCACACACTCACGTGCACACACACTTGCGCGTGCAGGGAACCAGCCACTGTCTACTTCTAGGATCCCTCCCAAGAGCAGAAAGCCTGTTACTTTGGTACTCAGGATGGTGGACATGTCCCCCGTCTCCACGAAGTAGATCCTCCTTATGTGATCCGGGAGACTCTACAGACCCAGGTCTGCCTGACTTTGCTGTCTCCACCATGAAGGGCATTGGGGGCCGGGCGTTCTCATAGAGGAAGGAATTCAGCTTCATCACATGTGCTGGAGAAGAAGACATTAGTTGGGGGCCAGCCTCGCCGGTGAGGATGAGGCAGGGCAGGGTGGGCGTCACTCACTCTGTATGGCTGACTCGCAGGCCTGGCTCACCAGCTGGAAGATGGTGGCCAGGGACTGTGGCTCTCCCTGGAAGGAGGACATGACCTTGGTACCCATGGCTGGTGCCGATAGGGAGTCCCAGTGTCTGGAATACGGCCATCACCCACCTTCTCTCCTCGTTCACCTTTGGACCCTGGTAGGCCCTGTAGCAGGGGGTAAAGGAAAAAAGCTATCAGCATAGGGACAAGGCGCTGTGGGCATGGTAACATGCAGCAATCTTGACTCCACACTGATGCGGTGCCAAGGCCCCAACCCAGCTACCAAGGTCCAGGAATGTATGTCCTCAGCTCCCACCCAGAGGGAGCAACTGAAGCTGGACATCCACATCAGGAACGGTCCCAAGTGGATCTGGGAGTGATCTCAAAGAACCTATCCCCAGCTGTACATTTTGTGCTGGGGGCGGGGGTGCGGGCAGAGGTTCCAAACAGCTAGAACGCTGCCTTGAGAACAGACCCTCCCTTGGCCTGGGCCAAGAACTTCTACGCATCCTGCTTCTTCCTTTCCATCATGCCCACATACGGAGCCCACTTAAGTAAGGGGCCCTGAGCTGCTGGAACCTTACTCCTCCTGATTGAAGGCTAAGGTGGTCTCCCAGGGAGCTAGATCCCCCAAAGTCAGCTGCTGCCTCCTTCCAATTCTGTACCCCCATGGAAGCTAGGAGAAGCTCTGGACAGGCAGATCTTCAATCATGGAGCCCCTGAACCTGCGCTTGCACCATCTCCATCACTTGGCTGCCTTGCTGGAAGGTAGGGGGTACTTACTGTGGGCCCCACTGCCCCTGGGGGTCCTCGCTCCCCATTGGTGCCTCTGGCCCCTGCTGAGCCCTGGAATCCCTGTAAAAAAAAATACAGCTATCAGAGTTTAGGTCCCAAGGAGTCTGTTCCCTTCCCCAGACCTGGTTTGATATCCAGGGTTCCAATTGCCCTGCAAAGTTAACCCTAGCTGCTCTCAGACCTTGCCCCCCTTTCTCCATCAAGTTCCAGGTCCTGTCCCCAAACCAGTGTCTATGACAGATCTCAGCTCTTCATCCAGAGCTAAGAGCAGACCCCTCCAGCCGCTCCTCCAGCACCCAGAACAAACACTACCTCTGTTCAGTACTTGGTACAGGCATCTGACCCTCACTCAGCATCCAGGGTAGACCACCCACCCCTCACCCAGCTGTCCACTAGTGTTTATGCTGCACTGAAATGCCCCCTGAAACACAGTGGGCTTCCCCCAACCCTGGAGAGCAGTCCTTGCAGTATATCCCAGTAAGTCTCGGCTGCCGGCCTGAGGTACCCTCTCAGAGGTTCACTGGGTACAAAGCTCAGGGTGAAGAACCCCTGGGATTCAGGCAGGAAAGTCTCAAGGTGAGGAAGCTCCAGCTTTTCTGCAGGGTCACAGGGCTGCCTTTGATGTCCCTGCTGCTGTAACAGCTGTAGGAACAGCATGACTGTCTAGCTGGTCTAGCCGGGCTAGCCGCCCACCCGGACCAGGCCGTCAGGAGTCCTGGCACTCCCGCCCTGGAAAGTTAGAACCTGCTCCAGGGGCAAAGGTCTTTTCTGGGGTAGAGTTGGGGTGCTCCCAGGTACAGACACTCAGACGTCAGCAGAGCCCCGTGGAAGGCCACAGCAGGAACAAGTCCCTCCTCTAAAGTGTACAGTAGCAGGTGACGTTCAGTGCCTTTCTCCCAGACTAGCTGTCCAGCGCCAGGGAGCCTCGAGGAGTCCGGGCAGAGCCTACCCTGGGGCCAGGTGGTCCAGGCAGGCCAGCAGGTCCCTCCAGTCCCCTCATTCCCTGGTGGGAAGAGGAGGGAAATACTGAGATGGGGGCTTATATCTGCCCTTGTTTTTTATGGTGCCCACCCCAACAACCGGAGATACACTATTCTCATTGGTGATTCTCTCCTACAAACGTGATGCCATTTGGGTCCAAGTTAATACTGTCCCTAGAAGGTGACCCACCCTGAGAAGGTGGGATGTACAATTGCCCCTCCTCTGATTAGAGGAGCTCTCTCCCTTCACCCCACCTCAGGGCGACACTATTTATCGTTAGTGTGGGCTGAGATAGCTTTCTTCCTGGACAGACCTTAAGGAGTAGGGAAATGAAGCCCCAGGTGGAGGAGGAAGCCTTTCCACCTCCTCACTCCCCATAGCCTTTTTCTCTAATGCTCCACCTGGGCCCACTCTCTCCCACACATTATCCCAGACCTGGAGCCAGTACCTTTGGTCCCTGTAGGCCAGCTTTTCCGGGGATGCCTTGCTGGCCAGAGAGGCCCTGAAAGGGAACAAAGATAGTCCACCAGGCAGGGGCCATCATCATATGCAGGAGAGAGTCCTACCATATCCCCACCATCACCCTGACCCGTTACCTGCAAGCCTGGGAGTCCATGATCTCCCTTCTCTCCTTTGACTCCTGGGGGACCCTGGAGGAGAAGATGAACTGAGAGACAGGGAAAAGAGACAAAACAGAAGAAGATGGGTGCAGAGTAGTACCTACCATGGGTCCCTGGACTGTGCGGCCCTGGGTCCCCGGTGACCCCTGCTGACCTCCAGGGCCTTCAGGTCCTGTCTGTCCAGGTGGTCCTGGCTCTCCCTGGAGACACAAGAAGCATTGGAAGAACCGAGAAAGCATGTCCCCTGTCCCTTCGTACTCACTACCTGCCCTCAGCACTGTCCACCACCCTACGGTTTTCATAGTAGGTCACAGGTACCTTCACCGGAGAAGAAAAGTCCCCTTGTGCCTACCCTGAATGGATCCTGCTGGGATGCAGTCTGTAGGGCACAGTCAGCCCCTGGCCACTTATCCAGAGCCACAAACAAGCCAAATTTGAGTCAGGATTTGAAGCCAGTTCTTCTGCCTCACCCCTATTCAGTTCTCCTATCCTGCTCTGGTTTCAATGGGACTTGGAGAGGAAATGTGCCCAGATATCACCGAGCGAAGAGAAGGAACTTAGTGGGCTGCTACACGGGGGCAAAAGGGCCATCTCCTTAAGCTCTGACACTCAAACACCAGATTCAGTTCTCACTAGATATCCAAGCTCTAAGGGACGGTGACACCAGACATATTTAAACTGAGCTTAGGGAGAAATACTTCTAAATTGTTTTTTTTATTATTAAGCAAATCAGTGTTCCAAATAGGATACAGCAAACTGCTCAGTCTTATTAATGCACAACTATAAATAAAATAGTGGCATACAGAGCAGTGCCACATACTAAACAGTGGTGAGGGCTATCACCATGCTGGCTTCATAATGATGCAAGAGTACTTAGCATGTGGGAAAACAGTAAAATTAATAGTAAGTTGCTTCAAGAAGAAAATTGCTTGATTATGTCCATAACCACTGAACAAATAATACATTTTATTTACTGTCTGTTTGATTTGTTTTTTCAAATTTCAAATAAATTAGGATTAAAGGAATCTTGTTATCACATGAAAATGAATATCTGTTTTAGTGTCTGAATTGGCGCTGCATTTAATGAATTACTATTAAGCCAAGACATCTGTACTATCACATGACACCATTTGACAGAGCTCCAAATTAATGGCCAACTAAGAAAAAGAAACCAGAGTTATAAACATTGGGCAGGAGAAGAAAAAGTAACTATGTAGGTGATCTTATGTGATTCTAAAAAACATGGATATAAAATATACCACAAATAAGATTTGTAAGAAGCTTGGATACAAAAGTAACCTTCAGGGAAAGAACCTGTGCATAAACCACAAGAGAAGCTGTAATGAGAACAAAGATGGCCACTTTCGCTAGCAACAAAAAGAAACAATATCTAGACATGAACCCGAGCCTGTCAACAAACAGGATGCCATGCTCCTGGATGAGAAAAATGCAAATTCTGCAAGTACCACTTCTTCCTAAGTACAGTTCTAACCTGAACGGTTCCAATGAAAACACCAACTGTATTTCCCAGTCTAAGGACAAGCGAGTTCTACATTCCACAGCGAATCAGCAAAGAGAAACAACAATGTTCTAGAGAGGACCAGACTGGGCTAGCAAGATGGCTCAGTGGGTAAAGGCACTCACTGCACAAGTCTGGTAACTTGTGAGTTCAATCCCTGGAACTCATGTAAAGGTGGATGGAGAGAGCAGACTCCACAAAGCTGTCTACAGAGGGGGATGAGGAGACAGTTGAATAACTAGGCAATCTGGATGAACCCACTGGATTTCCAAGCCTCAGTTTCCCCACCTGTGCCATATGGGTGATCCTGCCTATGAAGAGCAAATATCCACAAATACTTGGTTCAGGTGCAGATGTCTAGCAGGGGATAGGGGAGCCCAGAATAATCCCTGATTTTCTTGTGATGTCAGACCCCTGCTTATCTATGGTGGGGAGCCCTTTCACCTAACAGAAGGCCATGCAGCTGTTCCCTGTGCTCTGAAAGTGCAGGGTCTTCCCGCTGCACATCAGACCAAGCACACGGCTCTTGTACTTCACAAGACCCACCTTGGGCCCCGGGTGTCCCTGCTGTCCTGGAGTGCCATTCCTTCCAGGGAGGCCCTGTAAAGATACAGACAGGACTGAATACAACCCCATCATAATCCTCAGTTCCACTCAGCCCCCCCTCCGCCCCGGCGCAGATACCCAGCCTCCTCCAGTCCTGGACTCCTGTCTGTGTTACTGGGAGGAGCAGAATCCTCCAACATCAAAGATGTCCTTACTTCCCTCCCCTTCATTGCTGGACACCCACTGGATTCAGGCAGATCTGAGGTCACACCCTGGGCCTATATACAATGAGGCCTGGGATTGGCCAAGTGCAAAGTAAGTGCCCCTGATAGGCGTACTGTGACCACTGACTGGGGGAGCACTGCCACTGGCCAAAAGCCTTGGGCTTGCAAAGGAAGGACCAGAAGGGCTTATGGTGCTGCCTAACTCCTTTCCAGTATCCAGGGCAGAACTGCCTGCAAGGCTATGGCTCACAGTTTGCCATATCATAGCCCACCAGCCACCACCAGCACAGTCCTAGAGACCAGCGGGACCTGGGCTCATTCTGTCAGGACTATCGAAGAAACTCTTGATTTCCTGGCAGAGAAAGGACAGCATTTGCCCACAGATGGAGGACATATAAAAAAGAGAAAAGCTCAACCAGTGTTGAGGGGT